ATATATATATATATTAAAGTCCCGAAAATTGACGATGTTTGATGATTCATTTTTTTTCGTTTTTTTTTACTTGCCAATGGTTTCGATATTGGCGACATTTAGTGTAACGAGAATTGCAGAAATATGATGAAATTACCCATGATTTGTATAATTTGTTCAATTTATAAAAAGAGTAAAAAAAAAAAAAAATCAGTATAAAAAATCTTGAACTAGTATAATTACATCATACCCAACTCAATGATGCAATGAATTCAATAAAAATCTTTATTATATGAATATATATATATTATATGTATGTATGTATATATATATATTATATTATATATATATATTTTTTTAAAAAAAATTCTTTTAGCCTTTCTTCCTAATTTGTTTAAAAAAAGAAGTACGTAATTCAATATTATTAAGGGTATAGATCGACAATCCTTTCAGGTAAACATAAAAGGTTTAATGTATTTTATATATTGCTTAATATTCTTATATATTTTTAAACTACGGTATAAATTATTATCTTAAAAATCTTAATTGATTCCTTAAAAAGGGTTTAATATCTTAAAAATCTATAGCATCATTGTATGTCCTTATTATAAAAATAAAATGAAAATGAAAATGAAATGACCGTACTAAATGGCAAATGATTATGAATTATCTAAATATCTATTTATCTAAAAGAAATAATGAATATTATTATTATCATCATCATATGATGATGATAAGTCTGATAAATTTCCCATTAAACTTTCATCTATTAAAACATCACAATTAGTAACGGGAGTTTGTTGCTCTTGTTGTTGTTGTTGTTGTTGTTGTTGTTCTTGTATATCAAAAGAATCAAAAGAACTTATAGAATCTAATTTATCAAAATTTGAAAAAGTTGATGTATGTTGCCAAAAATTTTCATCATTGATAAAAACCGGATCATTGATATCATTAATAGAAGTATTCTCAAGATTAAGATAACCAGAATTTGATTGATTCAAATCGGTTAAATTTGAAGTGAAATTTTGTTGATAGTTATAATAAGCTGCAGAAGAGGATGATAAATTTGTCAAAGTTTCTTCAGAATAAGTAAGAATTGATGTAACGGAAGAATAATATAAACCTGAATCATTTGAAGTGATAGTTGAAGATGGACTAATAAAATTTGAGGAAGGAGAAGAGGGAGAATTAATAGTAATTGGAGAATTCCAAGATTCTTCAGGAGATGAAGGAGAAATGACGACATTTAAAAGGGGAGGAGAATCAGAATGATCAGTATGATAAGCTACAGAAGATTCTTGATCATGTTCCACAATAGGAGTAGAAGATTCTAAAGTAATAGAATGTTTAACACTATCCTTAAAAACCCAATCCTTTTGAATAGATTCTTTAATAATAGACTTTTTTTTAGGGGAATATTTATAATTAGGAAATAAAATTTTATGTTGAGCATGAGCCAATCTTGATAAAGTTTCAAAATAACGTTTAACTTTTACAGGATGATTTCTCCAAATCTCACCAGCATCCGTTGAAACATTTTTCATTTTCAAAGCTTTATCAGGGAAATTAGCACGTTGATTTGCTTCATAATCTTTACGAAATAATACCCAAGCATTTTGAGGTCTTGGAACTTTATCATCAGATTTACTTCTATTTTTTCGAGTTTTTCTTGCAGGGGATAATAAATCTTTTAATGAAAGAGTAAGTTTATAAGGAGGATCATTAATTAATAAATTTTCTTCCTCATTGAGAAGAGAAGAATTATTTGGAAAAACGAGAATTTCATTAAGTTGAGAAGAAGTATCATCATCAGGTGCTACCGGAGCAGGTTGAAGAGGAATAAAATGAGAGGTAGATAAAGAAGAAGAAGAAGAAATATTTATATTAGAGGGTAATTTGACAGATTTAATTTTAGGCATTTTTTTTTTTTTTTTTTCTTTCGAGTTTCGATGATAAGAATGATATCAAACTTGAAGAGAGCTTTAAATAAATTTTAGTTAAAATAAAATTTCTAGATGAATTGTAGTCTCAATGTAATCATAATAAAAAAAAAAACTCCCTGATATAAAAAAATGGTAAAAATGGTTTAGTGGGAAGTAAAAATACTATAATAGGATAATAATCCTTAAGGGGACCCTTAATTTATTTGTTGAAATTTATGATAATTAACATAATTATATAATTGAATATAAAGGATATACGCATAAATAAAGTTTATAAAGTTTATACTTTTATTACTTAACAGGTAATTATTATTAAGTGATCAAAAATTTTAATACATCAATAATAATAAGATTGCATATTTCCAAGGATTGAAAATTGCATATTCTTAATATATAACAAAAACAATGAATTAACTTATGATTACATTAGAACTTAAAAAAATATAACTGATATATTTGATTATTCTGTAATTTTATGATATTTTTTATTATAAATCCGTATTATTCTTTAAATGGGTCCAAGGATCAAAAAGCTATTGAAACAATGACTTTTATTTCAGACTAAACCAAATAAAGTAATTTCAATAATCCTGAGCAATCATTCCTAATTCTAATGGCAGATTCTATTTTTACATGAAGATCGTACTACTGATAATATAATTGTTTCCCGATATGGTATTTGGCTTCTATTGACGAAAATTTCAATTGTCTTGGATTACCTTAAATAAAAAAATTCATAATTATTTTGAGTTTTACATTTTTATCTTTCTTAATTGAGGTTCTTTATAAAATTTTTTTTTAAAAAAAATTACCAAAAAAATTACCATAAAAATTTTTTTTTTTTATTGTTTCTTCGTATGGAAGTTAAATAACGTCATTAGTTTAATCTTTTGGCTAAATCTAACAATAACACGTCATAAGATCGGAAAACCCATTTATAAAAATGGAGTCCGGTCACAATTGAAAAAATTATTTAATTATATACAAATTTAATGTTTTGGGCACATTTTGCCATTTTTTATTTTATTTTTTATTTTATTTATTTTTAATTTTTTTTATTTTTANTTTTTTTTTTTTTTTTATTTTTTTTTTTAGGAAAAAAAACTATGAACGAATGGAACGAATGGAACGAATGACATCTTAATAATAATTTATTTAGAATTATGAATTAACTTATTATAATATTAAAAAAAGAATTATCAAGTTTTTAAAATACATATAATTCCGTGCAAAGTACCATGAAATTACTTTTTAAAGAATTTCAGCCAAGAATTTCCGCCCAACGCGAATTACGTTTGAATATTCGGAGTTTCTATATTCACTGTCATATGATTTATGTATTATTTGATGTTATGTGATGTGATACATAATATACAAAGTTATATTAATTTTAATGTGATTGATTATTTACTATATTATGATTAGTATTGTTATTTTTTATTGTTGCTATTCCCCTATCTTAAATTAATAATATTGATTTATAATTCTTATTTTTTTTTTTGGTTATTATTGGATTATTATTATTATTTTTTTTTCTTCTTTTGCAAAAAAAGTCAAAGTATACATACATACATGTAATATATCGTATATCTTTCGCGCGAACATTGCGAATATTGCGATATCAGATATCGGATAAATTAGTGTATTACAAACCAATAATTTAAGTTACAGACTTACAGTTTAGACTATAATAAGTTGTATGATACCCCAAATTAATTCATTATACTTGTACAATTATTATATTTAATTAATTAATAAGGATTAAAAAATTTTTCGTTTGATATATTTAATACTTTCATAAATCATTTATTTAATTTATCTCGTATATAAAATACAAAGTAAAATTTTCCATAATTATCTTTAAAAAGGGTTGAAAGTTTCTTTGTTTGTTTACTTAATGTTCTGTACAAGATTCTGCAATATTTTTCATGAATTTCCTTGTTATCAATTAAAATTTGATTTATTCGATTTTCTAAGTTTTTAATTCTAACTTATTTTTTTTTTTTTTTTTGAAACGTAATACGACGATCTTAATGATGGGAAGATCAACTCCGTTAATATAAATAGCAAATAGCATATGGGCGTTTTATCCTTTCATCTAGAATTATATATAAACCATCAAATTTTGAGTTATGTTCTTTCTTTAATTAATTTTTTTGTTTCTATTGCAACAAAAAAAAATCGGTACTATTTTTAAAGATGCCAAAATCGAAATCAACCTATATGAGTTCAGGCATGACCAACTACCTTCCTTCGCAATTTATGACTACCAACTCAAATAATATCGTATCAGATTATGATACTGATTTATATCAGATCTTCATATCATTGTTAACTAGTGAAATACCTTATAAATTAACCCTTCCCTTCGATGAATTATTAATTCCTAAAATTAAAAGCGAGGGGAAAATCCCCAGGCCACTTAATTCATGGCTTATATTTTTAAAAGATTTTACTGCCAAGATTAAGACCGAATCCAACGTTAAATTATGTATCAAGGATATAAGTTCGATGGCCAGCAAATCATGGAGTAATCAACCTCCTCAAATTAAACAGTTTTTTGAGGTATTAGGTGTTTCCGCCAAACAAGTTCATACCTTGATTTTTCCTGGTTACAAATTTCGACCCGAACGGAAATATAAACTTCGATTCGATAACATTAGAAGCAATACTGCGCCACGGTCCGATCTGTCATCACAACTTCCTTTAAAGGGAGATTCATCGTTGATGAACGAAATATGTCAACCGAATTCATTTTCATTGGGTGATGATTTCCCGTCATCTCCATCATACGATTTATTGTCATTAGATGATATTTATAATTCATTATCACAAAATAGCAACACAATGAATGAAAGCAGCATAAGTTTGAAAGAGTTCTATGAACTCACAGAATCAGAACTAAACAATACTAAACATTATTAATTAACTTTGTTGCAATTACCTTATATGTTTATAATAAGATAAATAAGATATAATAAGATTATTTTAAGACATTAAAATTTTTTTTTTTTTTTTTTTTTTTTAAGTCAAATAAGTTCAAAATATGTTTTTTTTTAAGGATAGTAAGATTTTAAGATTTACCAAGTAACTAAAATAAGTAAGTTAACAAAGTAAGACAGAGTAACGTTTCAAATAGGGCCGAAGTATTACTAAAATATGAATATATCACGTTTTTTTTTTTTAAAAAAAAAATATATATATATCATCCAATAAAAAACAATTATATGTAAATCATGGACAAATTTGAATAAAATCTTTAAAAATTTTCTTTAAAGAATTCTAGTAATTTCCTTTTTTGTGTAACTTTTCGAAATGATTCTTTTTAGTCCTGTGATTACGGTTTTTATGTTTTTATTATACTTCTAGAAAATTTCATGAGTTCTTGACTAATATTCGATCATCAAAAGATTTACCATTACAATTACCCATTTTGTTATTGACAATTTTTCAAGTACGTATCAGCCTCAAATCCGACGGGGCTAACATCCGGTTGTTTCCGAACAGAAAAAAAAATGGGATTAATAATTCTAATTAAAACTTATAAATTCTAGGATTCTCTCGAATATTCAACGGAGTTAATGACTCACAAATGACGTAAGTATGCAGATAAATTCAAGATGATAAGATAACTCAATAACATTTTTTTAAATTTTGTAATTTTATCATAGGTTCATAACTAATGAATGGATTTTTAATTAAACTGTAATATATATGTGTGTGTTACTTTTAAATAAATAATAAATATATACATACATAAACATTATACATTATAATACATAAATAATATATATTATATATTGTAATATGATGTTGAAATTCAATTCAAAAAAAAAAGAGGTATTCAAAAAGTAACCTAAAAAGGTGGTCGGAGTATTATAAGTACATAAATTGCGTAGTAAAAAAAAACAACATTCAAACGGGAATTCGATTAAAGTAATCTAGGTATGCGCAAATAACTGACTCATTTAGCATGCATTTTAAAATTGATTTACGTTACATATTGTTGTTATTCTTTTTACTCATAATTACTACAAAAATTTTACCAAAAAAAAATCGGGTTTCTATTGGTTTTGTTCCTAAAGAAAATCCTTAATTCTGTGAAAATCTTGTGAAATTTCTTTTTTTACTTTCACCTAAGTTCTGTTATTGTTACAATAATTTTTTTCGGAAAAATTTTCACGCTCGAGCCTATAGGTTATTGAAATTGTAAGAGACCATGGTGGGGGGGAGGAAAAGAACGAAGAAAAGAAGGGTGAGGAAATGAAATTTTTTTTTTTTTTTTTTTTTTTTTAGTAAACTGGGTAAAAAGTAAATTTTTTCAATGAGAAAAAAAGATATTTTTATTTTATTTCTTTTTTTAATTTATTTTATTATTTTTTTTCTTTGAAGAGAATAAGTTTTTTGAAACGAATTTTAAAAGGGTGTGAAACATAACCAAGACCTTGCCCTGCTAAGAAATAATTCCAAGACTAATCCTAAATAAGAAAACTGAGCAAAAATGGGCAAATGACGCATAAACAAGATTCCTAATCATACCCTAAATTGATAACCGAATATGATGAAACATATATTCGGGCTGATTTCACTGTAATTACCTGTTATGTCACGTAGTAAAAGTAATAAAAGCATATCAAATTATGTTGAGGATCGGAGATTGCGGTTACCTAATTTGGTCTAATGAGTTCATTTTTTTCAATTCAACCGGAGGAAAGGAGTATTTTAATTATATATATACTAATATATAAATATATATATGTACTTTTTTTATAAATAGATGATTTTAAAGACTTTTTTCCCTTTTTTTTTTCTTTTTTTTCTTTAGCAAAAATTTGCTTTCCTCTAAAATCGAAAAAAAGTAAAGAAATTTTGGAAAAAAAAATGCCGAAATCAAATTCAAAAAATTATCTTAACGATAAACCTCAAACCCAAAATTCTCTCACTTCACCAACAACTTTAACAAATTCACAACCTACTTCGTTTCAAGTTTTGATGTCATATTATACTCCTTCGGTCACTTCTGGACCTCCTTATAATTTAACATTATCCCTTCCCGTTTTATTACTTCCCAGATTAATGTCAAATGGATCACCTGAAAACTCCCAGAGTGCATTTACTTTATTTCTAATGGATTATATCGCAAAAATTAAGAAACAAAATTTAAATCAAAATCAACAATTAACTATAAGAGAAATAACATATTATGCTAGTAAAGAATGGAAATATCAACCTTCGAATGTTATTCGATTCTTCGAAGTCTTATCTTTGGCCTCCAAAGAACTTCATGAAAAATATCGTCCAAAGAGAAAATATGTCAAGATAAAAAACAACGAAAACAAAAAAGAATCAAAAATAAATCATACGATAAAAAATAATACTATAAATAATCCGATAATTAATACGATAAATACGACGAAAAATACAACGATAAATACAACGATAAATACGACATTAGTTAATAATTCGATGCCAATTATACCTCCTACGAGCGTTAACTCTTTTCCAAAATTTGACGTCGATTTCGAATTATATGATGAACCGAAAGAAGATGAAATATTTTTTTCATTATTTCCGTAAATGAACTTTCAAGTTCTAAAAAAAAAAAAATAAGATTATGAATAAGAAGAGTTAGATGTAATTGTACAATATAGAGATATAAATCGTAAACGGGCATTAAAAAAATATGTAAAATAGAAAATAATATGTATGTAATATGTATGTATGTATGTATGTGACCAAATATTCGATTTTTTTTATATATATTAATTAAATAAAATACATCACAAATCACAAACAAACTTTTTACATGTAATGAACAAATTGTGTGTAATTTACGCAGTATTGCGCAGTATTGCGCAGTTACTTGCGCAGTATTTATGTACTATTTATATCAATTATATGCATCCTGACCTTCTATCGATCAGTTCTAAATGTGGAACAATCGTAAAAAATTAATACTGTATGTATATTATAATTATATTATAATAGTGGATGGTCATATAAAAATATTATATGTTTGCTTTCATCTCTGACGTTTTTATACAATAACAATGCAATAATTATCTAACTAACTTTGCAGACTAAAAAAAAAAAAAAAATTAAGATTTAAAGCTAATCTCAATCTCAATTCCTTAAATAGGCCAATAGATTCGCCTCAAATCTATATTAGGTCTGGCGCAAATTTTTACTAAATAATAACTTTGGTCAGCTGACTTTCTTGTTGGTTGATAAGAAAATATGTTTTTTTGTCAATTTGTCATGTCAATTCGAGCATTTGGCGCTGGTCGCATCGCATTGCTTACGAATCATTTTTTTTTTCAAAATAGAAATTATCTTTAATATTGATAATCTGTTAATTTTCTTTCATTGAAGTCAAGTTTATATCAAGTATTTTCTAATGCATAAAAGATAAGATGTGCTACCAATTAGAGTCAGAACTATATATTACATATGCAATTTACATAACACGTGGTTCAAAATTTTATGCAATTCAATTATATTTTCATATGATAATTCGTGTATTTTCGGTATTTTAGATAATTCATATATAAAGGATCATTCAAATTCCTCTTTCCCCTTTGAAAAAATTTTTCATTATTAGATTACTGTAAATGCTGCTAGTTCGTATTTTATTTTATTTTATTTTTTTTATATATGTACATATATTTTTATTTTTAACAATATCATTTTTTATTTAATAGAATAAAATTTTCACTATTATATCCTCAATAATATCCGCAGTAGTTATTCGGATATTACAGGTTTCTTATTTATGGATTCAAGTAAGCTATTTTTTTTGAAAATTTTTATTTTAAATCGATTCTAAATTTTATTATTTTAAATCGATTCTAAATATTATTATTTTTAAATTGATTCTAAATTTTATTATTTTAAATCGATTCTAAATTTTATTTCTCTTTTTCAAGAAATTGAGACGTAAAAAGACACCGGCGGAGATACTAAGGAATGAAATGCAACATGCGAAAACATACACAGAATGGCAAAAAAAAGCACAAGAGCTAGACAAGTAAATATGTGATTTGTTTTTTTTCTTTAAAAATAAAAAAAATATATAAATATATATTAACGAGAAATTTCATTGATCATAGTCTTTTAGGTAAGCTAAATAGATCAAAGTGGTTTTTTCTGAGATTGTTTAATTTACTTTTTTTAAAAAATTTATTTTAGCAAATGATGAATGGAAACAAGATCCGGCATCTCAATACTATGATTATATTATGATTAAAAAAAGATTGACTCATCTTAAAGACCTTCATGAAAGAAATGATGTTTTATCAATGATTTATAATTTAAGATCAGGTCTTTTACGGAATTTGGGAGGTATAAACGATCCAAGATTATTTTGTAGATCATACTTAGGAACCAAAAGATTGATAGAAGATTATACAAAAGAGGTGGTAACGCAATTAGAATATATATCAGAAAAAGATTTCATAGATCTTCCACAATATTCAAAAATAGAATTTTTAAGTGATACCCGTCAATCATTCGGTTGTACCGCTTTGGTATTATATGGTGGAGCAACATTTGGTTTATATCATTTAGGAGTTGTTAAAGCTTTATATAAACATGGCCTATTACCTAGAATTATTAGTGGTACAGCCATTGGAGCTTTGATAGCCGCTTTAGTTTGTATTAGAACTGATGATGAATTACCAAGTATTTTTGAAGAAGGTGGTGTAGATTTAGGTGCCTTTGCTAAGAAAGGAAAGAAAGGAAATATAAAAAGGAAAATAAGTAGATTCTTAAAACATGGTAAATGATCTTTTAATAAAAAAAAATTTTATTTGGGTTCAAGACTTTATCGTTTAACTCTCATTCATTTCTTTTAAAAAAAATTTAGGTTATTTTATGGACGTCAAAGTGTTGGAAGATTGTGTTCGAAGTAACGTTGGAGATCTCACATTTGAAGTAATTTATTAACTTATTCTATTATTCTTATTCTCTTTTTTAATTTTTTTTTAATTAAAAAATTCTTAAATCACCCTTTATTTTATACATATATAAAAAGGAAGCATACGCTAAAACAAAAAGGATCTTAAACATCACAGTATCATCAACTAGAAAATATGAAGTTCCTCAACTACTTAACTATTTGACCGCACCTAACGTATTAATACGTAGTGCAGCTTGCGCTTCTACTGCTATGATGGGACTTTATGATAGTGTTGATCTGTTGGCCAAAGATAAAGCTGGAAATATTGTGAAATGGGCTCCAACTGAAATTAAATGGAGAAAGTGGTCGGATACAGTTCCGACTGAGAGTGAATCTCCGTTGACAAGAATTTCAGAATTGTTTAACGTCAATCATTTCATCGTCTCTCAAGCAAATCCGTATATCGCTCCTTTCATAGCAAAGGAACAATTTGGTAGTAATATATTGATTAAATGCGCTCATCTTTTTTCTACTGAATTTAGACACCGAATCAATCAACTTGGACATATGGGTTTACTTCCAAAAAATTTCCGAGGTTTGATTGATGAAAAGGTTTCGGGAAATGTTACCATTGTTCCTTATCTTACATTCTCGGTAAGTACAATATTTTTTTCACAATTTTTAATAAAAACTTAAATTGATAAATTCTCTCACTTTTTTTTTTAGGATTTTAAAACCCTGTTCTCTAATCCAAGTTATTCATCTTTGGACTATTGGATTTCGAAAGGAGAACAATCTACTTGGCCTATGTTGGCACTAATAAGGAATAGATGTATAATTGAATTGGAACTTGACAGAAGTAAATAATATATTATTTATATTAATTATTGTTTCATCATCATAATACAATATATTAACTAATCATTTAATTTATTAATTGTTTATTTAAAAAGTTAATTTGAAATTGAAAGCGGAGCGTCCTTACTTTATTTATCTACATACTAACAAAGAGAATGGAAGAAAGCGCACAAAGTCTATTCACTAAATTAAATGAATAATTCAAAATTAGATATAACGCAAATAAATAATAAATAAAAAATAATATCTTAATTAGAAACAAATAATTACAAATAATTACTTTTTTAATTTATTCCTGAATTGATTTCAAACGTTTCTTTTTATTCAATTTTTCTAATGATTTAGCAATTTTAATTTCTTCCTTTTCTTTAATGTTCAATGCTCGTTTTATGCCTTGTTCTCGTCTTTTTTTTGCTTTTGCTCGAAGTGGTTTTGGTTTCTTTTTAATTTTGTGAAGTAAATTATCAGCACCTTTCCCTGTACATAGGATTAATGGATTTATCTAACTTATCTAAAACACGTAATTAAAAAAAAAAAAAATTCACAAGACACTTCAATAATGAAACTTACTTTCTTGTGAAGAAATAGACCATTTATCAATATTCATAGGTTTTGGAGGTGATGTTGGTTCATTATCAATTTCCATTTGCATTCTATTTCGTTCTAAATCGTATTTCAAAAGAAAGAGGATTAGCTTTGAAAAAAAAAAGAATTTGTAAATCTTATAAAAAAACCACACACTTGGTTTACCCATCACGATTCACTATTAAAAAAAAAAAAAGAAAAAAAAAATCTAAAATGATCGTCATCTAGGAAAGCACAAACTTTTCGGTTTTTGCCGATAAACTGATCATGGCGCAGTTTCAAATCTCAATAGTACAAAAATTCCTTTCCTTTTGATTCTTTGCATCAATTTTATTGACTTATACACCCCTTTAACTCTTTCTTTTCATATGCTTATTTTTAAGAATGTTTTTCCGGTCAAAAACATGTTGATTAACTTTGCCCTTGATTGATATAAAGATATGAACACGATGCGCGATCAGTTTAATATAATGATCATATTTGCCGGTATCTAGATCTTTATTTTAACCAATCACAAAGTCATAGATCTACAAGAAAATTTACTTTATGAAGTGATCAGATTTTATAGATTTTACAATGATAATCACATTTTGGTATTCATCGATCAAACTGAAATAACGAACCGTTACAACGAAAACGCCCTAGTTATACCTCTACGCCTTTTTCTTTCTCCAACTAATTAACTCAAGAGATGGTATGTTCGTCTTTTTATTATAATTTTAAAAGAAAAATATTTCTTTAATAATCAAAAAAGAAGCTGTTAAAAACGATGAAAATGTGATCTTATTTTTTATTAATTTAGGCTGGAGCATTATCTAACGCAAAAGATAACTTACCAAAAATAAAAGATGTTGAAAGAGAGAGCGAATTTGGTTATGTCTATGGTGTGTCCGGTCCAGGTAAGCAAGCAACATTACCTTGTTTTTTGTAATCACACTAATAAACCAAATATTTAAACATCAACCCTAAATTTGTTGGAGCTAAATAATCGATTGCCTTTTTTTTTTAATCAAGTCGTGGTTGCGGAACAAATGAATGGATCTGCTATGTATGAATTGGTAAGTTATCATGTTATATGTTTTTATCTTAAAAATCCTTTCTTATGCAAATTTTATGAAGGTGAGAGTTGGTCACGAAGAACTTGTTGGCGAAGTCATTCGTATTGACGGTGACAAAGCAACGATTCAAGTTTATGAGGAAACTTGTAAGTTTTTTTATAACTCTTGTTACAGGCTATTTTTTGATGATTGTCACATATATTAAAGAATAATTTATGACTGTTAGCTGGAGTTACTGTTGGAGATCCAGTATTAAAAACCGGAAAACCTCTTTCAGTTGAGTTAGGACCTGGTACGTTTCAAATTTTATTTTCTTATAAAATCTATAAAATCGATTGATCCTAATTTCCTCCTTTATAGGTTTGATGAGTAATATTTATGACGGAATTCAACGACCACTTAGGGTGATTACTATTATAGAATAATTAGTTGTTTAAATTACCTTCATATTAGTACTAAATCGCTTTTCATTATTGTAGTCTATCCGAGAAATTTCTGATAGTATATATATTCCACGTGGTATCGCAACTCCCGCGTTGGATAAAAAAATACAATGGGATTTTGAACCATTAAATTACAAAGTATGCATTGTTACCCAATTATTTTAAAAAAAGAATCATGTTTGTAATAAGTAAATCTAATAATAAAAAATTTCTCCTCAGGTCGGTGATCATATTACTGGTGGTGATATATTTGGCAAGGTTTATGAAAATTCTTTAGTGAATGCTCATAATATAATGCTATCACCAAAAGCCCTTGGTACAATCACACATATTTCTGGAAAAGGCAGTTATACTTTAGAGGTATGTTAATTCGTAAAAATCAATTCTAATTTTTATATTGCGTGAGTAATCAATGCTAATATATAATTGAATAGGACATCGTACTTGAAACTGAATTCGAAGGTCAAAAATCCAAACATACAATGATGCAAATTTGGCCTGTGCGTTCGCCTCGCCCTGTCACAGAAAAATTGGCAGCTAATTATCCATTATTGACTGGTCAACGTGTTTTGGATGCTCTTTTCCCGTAAGGTTTACAGTATTTTTTTATTAAATATATTTAAATTTTACTTATTATGTATATACAAAATTTAGCTGTGTACAAGGTGGTACAACTGCTATTCCTGGAGCTTTCGGTTGTGGCAAAACGGTTATATCACAATCTTTATCTAAGTACTCTAATTCTGATATTATTATATATGTTGGATGTAAGTTATTGAATTTTTTTATGTGCTATAAAAAAAATGATAAGATTTATATGCATAATTGATTAAATTTTTTAGGTGGAGAACGTGGAAATGAAATGGCTGAAGTATTAATGGACTTCCCAGAGGTAGGATAAAATGTTTATATAGTAATCAAATTAAAATTAGTTATATAATATTGTTCGTGTTTCCGTCTTTAGCTTAGCATTAATATTGATGGTCGTCAAGAATCCATCATGAAACGTACAACATTGGTAGCTAATACTTCAAATATGCCTGTAGCCGCTCGTGAAGCTTCCATTTATACTGGTGAGTTTTATTAATTAATTAATTTTAAATATGTATCAATTATTTAAAGTATTATCGTATTTTTTTTAGGTATTACATTATCTGAATATTTCCGTGATCAAGGCAAGAATGTTGCAATGATGGCAGATTCGACCTCTCGTTGGGCTGAAGCTCTCCGTGAAATCTCCGGTCGATTGGCTGAAATGCCGGCTGGTAAGTTAATAAATATTGTCACTGTTTCGTCATATATTTCCTGATTTTAATATACTTTCCATTTTATTTTACAGATAGTGGTTATCCTGCTTATTTGGGTGCTCGTTTAGCCTCTTTTTATGAACGTGCTGGTAAAGTAACGTGTCTTGGTAATCCAAAACGCGACGGAAGTGTTACTGTAGTTGGAGCGTATCCTTTATAATTGAAACAATCTAGTTATATTTATATGAATGTTTGTTATCTTTAATCAAAAAATTGTCATTTAATTTTATAGTGTATCCCCACCTGGTGGTGACTTTTCTGATCCTGTAACATCGTCAACACTTGGTATTGTGCAAGTATTTTGGGGTCTAGATAAAAAACTAGCTCAACGCAAACATTTCCCTTCAGTAAATTGGTCTTTGAGTTATTCAAAATATCTCAAAGTTTTGGAGACATTTTATGAATCGAATGAGCCAGATTTTATTGCTCTCAGAGATAAAACTAAAGAGATCCTTCAAAAGGAAGAAGATTTATCTGAAATTGTCCAGCTTGTTGGAAAGGTATATTGTTCTTCTAATTTATTTGATTTATTTATATTACGGTGATTTATATTATAATTTAAATTAGAGCGCACTTGGTGAGGCTGATAAAATCACTTTGGAAATTGCAAAAATTATAAAAGACGATTTCTTACAACAAAATGGTTATTCAAGTTATGATCGTTATTGTCCATTTTATAAGGTAAATACTAATTTAAACGAGACTCCTTTTTTTTGTTTTTATATAATGATATACTTAAAATTTTTTAATTTTTATCAGACTACTTGGTTACTTAAGAATATGATTGGTTTCTATAATTCTGCCACTCATGCCGTTGAAGTTACTAATAATGAGATAACATGGGCTAAGATTAGAGAATCAATGAATGACCTTATTTATAAACTCAGTTCTATGAAATTTGAAGTAAGTTTTTTTTGGTTATTAATTGTAAAAACATTTTATATTAATTGATTTTTTTTTATAAGGATCCTGCTGAAGGTGAAACAGCTCTTCGAGAACGTTATCAACAATTGCAAACAGAAATTCAAGAAAGGTTCCGACAATTACTTGAATAAATTGGATTTAATTAGTTGAAATAGGAAACTTTTATTTTATTTTATTTTTTTTTATTAATAAGTAGATAACTTAATTTTTTTCTTAATGTATTATTATTAGTACCAAATATAAACATATATATAATGAAACTGTTATTTATTTATTTATTTTTATATTAAAGTATATTTTACTTTACTTAATATATTAAGTTTGATCATTAATAATTAGGAGAAAAATTAAAGTACTAAAATTATTATATTAAGAAATTATAAATGATTTTAATTTTAATTTAATCTATTGTGACACCTTTTGTTTTTAAATCGTCTTTTGCTATTTGAATTTCCTAAAAAAAAAAAAATATGTAAAATATTATATTTAATTTGATATGAAAAAGTTGAGACATAATTAATTACCGCCATTAATTCGTGATAAGCATCTTCACAATCTCTAAATCTATAAACATGATATCCGATATTTCCAAGTGAATAAGCTCCAAATGACACAAGTACCCACCAAGGAAACTTTTAATAAATTATCATCATATATAACAGAATATATTATTAAAAAATTTATCATCAATATATCAAATATTTAAATTTTCTCTTACCACTGGTAAAATTTCTTCTTGTATTATTTGAGGAAGGGGAATTATGTTAAATAAGAAAATAAAATATGTTAACAAAATTATACCAAGAAATCTTGCAGTTTCTGTTGCTTTTGTCATTTTTATTTATTTTTTAAAACATTGATTAAGGGAATAAAAAAAAAATTTACCTTTTTTGTGTACATATCATATAGGCATTAATGTTACACGTGTGCAATATGTGTTTTGTTCCCGATTGACAGGTTTATTATGAAAAAATGTCAATATGATAAAATATTTACGAATTATAACGATTATTACAAACTTTAAAATAAATATATATAAACTTTATGTATATTACAATAAAATTGGTTTTACTTGTAAAGCTTAAACTAAGATCACCCATTTCTCAAAATTTGCAAAAATTTACAAAATATACAAAGTATATTCAGAAATATAATATTAACAAAATCAATTTTCAAAATTTTCTTTATACATTTTTACAACTTTACTCGAATTCAATTCGTTACTTTACATATAATTCATACAATAACGTTTATATTGTATAAATTCACGCTTGGATAATTTCGGCATACATTATATATGAATCGAATTAATTAAAGTTTAAATTAATTCTTTCAAAAATGCATGAATTCTCCCCTAAATAATAAAAATTAAAATCGATATTTAAAATTAAGGAAATGACGAAGTAGCAAATTAAAATTTTTTTTCTTTCTTACCAAGCGGTTGGATAATTTGTAAGTTCAGGTCTTGGAGGATGCATCTGTTGCATTGGTGAGGTTGAAGCCTGATTTGAAGTTTCTTGTCCGTCTTTATTCACAACTTGAAATACTTCATATTCTTCAACAGAAAAATTATGGTTCTCAGTTATTTCACTTTCATAATCATAACATTGACATGTACACGTTTCAGCTTCGTTAAAATTATCATTCATTCGTAAATCATTTTGTCCAAAACAAGGACCATGCCGTGGAGATGAAAAAACAGCTGTTGACATATTATCTTGAAGAATTCGACTAATTTTTGCTTTCGAAAGATCCTTTCCATCACCTAATGAAAATATAAAACTATTAAGGGTACTTTGATAAGGACCTACTTCATAAGTAGATCTTGAAAAACTTCCAAAAGTAGAAGGACGATGACGATTTGAAACAGTCCACGATGGAGCTGCTGCTGACATCCAACCACCATCTAGATTGTTATTTAAACCTCTCCAACTTATTGGATTATAACCCCCAATAATCTCTCCGGTTTCCTTTACTTTAATTACAACTAAAGTTGGACCTTGGTTATCACATTTCTTGTGAAAATTAGCGGCAGTGAAGCCACTAATTGAACCACAAAGAACCCTATTAAAATCGTATTTAGACTTTTCTAAATTAGTTTCACTTCCTTCCTTTCTGTCAATCCATTTTGCTATTAAAGAAATATGTTTAAATTTTATAATATTTGATTGAATTCCAGTCTTTCTTGGTGGTAATATAATTGTATCGGTTAAATTTATATTACCTCGCTTACAATAATATTGCAAGAGGACTTCATGCAAATCACTTGGTAAAATTTGACTAAAAGGTCTCACTTTATCCCAATAATCACTAGAGTCAATATTAAAATATCTAATTAACGGTATACATTGTTCAAGGGTACTCTTCAATACTTCAAAGTCATCAGAAGACCATGTTGAAATATTTTCACTTAGTGTTGGATTTTGTGCAATTCCCCACTCAATTAAATGGTCCCAAATTTCAATTTCTTCCATTAAAAGATCGTCCCGTTTTAATAGAGGTATAAGAACAGATTCATCCAATGAACGAAAATTATTTGATTCGAATAACCAATAAGGATCCTGACAAATTAAACCCAAACAAAAATTTTGTAAATCTTTACAAGCTTCTAAATATCCAACAGTATGCAAAACTTGTATCACATTTTCTTGCAACCAGTCGGATTTTTGTTGAATAAGATGATCTTGTGCATAAATGATCAATTCTTGAAGAACTAACTCATCAGAGGCAGTCAAAAGATTAAGGATAATCCCACCTTCTTGTGCGAGTAAATCGGCTGTGCCGCTGTAAATATACCTACCAGAAAACAAAAAAAAGAAAAGGTATACATACACATTGACTAAACACTGTAAATATACAACTTCAAAATAATAATGTTATACTAACTTTAAAATAACATCAAATACTTCGTGTGCTATGTTCGGCTTCTGAAAAACAATAGAACCGTTCTCTTTTTTAGCCCAATCTCTTGACAAAGCTCTACGAAAGTAAGGAGATCTCGCACGCAAAATAACTGTGTGCGCGTGGAATTTCCTAACATTTGGTTCTTTACCAGCATAAATGATAACGTCATAATCATCAGACTCGTCCAGCAAATGACTAAAGTCAATAGATAATCCTCTATAAAATTCCATTATTTAACTTATTCTTAATACACTCGTTAACGTTGTTTATGAGAAAGGGTAATACACAAATGGTCTTTATATCAAAACGGTGTGTAACACTCCTAAAATGATCGCCATCTGATCGTCAATTGAGTTCAGTGTTTATTATTTTCTATTATTTTGCCTCGAGATCAAACAAATATTCTAATTTACAGCAATTTAATTACACGAATTAAAATTTTATTTTATTTTATACATTCAAGATATTCAAGATGTTTAAATCAAATTTTGATCTTTAATTGACCATTTAATAAGCAAGTTTTACGATTTCTACATTTCTACACATATTTTGTAGTCTAATTTTATATTTTAATTTCGTAATGTTTCCGTTTAGACGAACCATACACACATAAATAATTTTAAATTGAGTACGGTAGATAAGTAGACGGAAATTTATATTCTTCTTTAAAGCAAAAAAAAGACGAACACATCCTAATCAAAAAATAAAAAGAACAGAGTTCGCTTTCTGCCATAAAGAAGGTTCGAAAGTTAAAAAAAAATTTTTTTTATTTATCTAGTTATAGATATAATCAATCTGATAAAGTGATTAAAATTTATGGGATTTATTCCGCACGTGAATTGTTACGTCAGACTTTAATAAAAGGAATTTTTATAATGAAATTTCAGTATTTCATTTACGAGATCAAATTTTTTTGTTCTAAGAACATTACTTATCGTTTTATATTTTCGATATGGATCCCAAAGTACCAGAGCAAGTAGCTGAACAAGTAACACCGGAATCTTCGTCACCTTCAACAGACGCAGATAAAGTAAAAAGGAATCAGATATCGATAATTTTTTGAAATGCATTGTTGGCCTAGTTTCTTTATTGAATTTTTTTTTTTTTTTTTTTTGCGGCATTCTTTTATTTTAGATTCGATTAAAACGTTTAGCAAAGTTAGCAAAACTTCAACAGAATAGTTCAGAAAACTTGGCTGGAACTTCAAGAAATGTCGCGTCGTCTTCTAGCACAAAGTCCGCAAAATCAAATAATTCGAATGCTGCGACGACTTCGCAAAAGCAACAACTACAAGACAAGGGTAACAAAGAGCCTATGGTGAGAATATAGCTTCGATTTTATTGTTTATATTTCTAATGCTTGTTTTATTAAATATACTTGCAGCAAGGTTGAGAGACGTATAATTTATTTATTTTTTATTATTCAAAGAATACGCCATTGATTTCACAAAAACCAAAGCAACCTCTTAAGTCTTTTGAAGATTGGCAAGATGATGTCATTTCAAAGGTTTTTCAAGTTACTCTTGATGTAAGTTGATCTTGTTAAGACTTTTTCGGATGAGTCACTTCTTTTAACATTTTTGCATAAATAAAATCTTAAAAACTTTAAACAATTTGCCTTTAAAGAAATCATTAGCCGAAAAAAAAGACTCTCAATTGGTATACTTAAATTCTCTCGTTGAGGAATTAAAGAAAGAAGATCCTGGTATGAATTATCTTGCAGAAATTGTCTTTTCCTATATACCTTGCTTTTTATTAAATCTAATTAAGATATTGAATATTATGAACAGAAAAGAAATCATTCAAATTATCGCAATCTCATCTTGAAAGTGCTCTAGTTGCTCGATTAAATATTGATCCCAATCAAATGAGTGATGATGAGGAGACTTTTCAGGCTATTTCGAAATTACCTCGTATATCCTTATTTGATTATCTGCTGGATTGTTGGAAACGAGCATCTGAAATTAAGAGTAACTTGTTAACACGCTCCTCAAAAGTATAAACTCATTTTATCTGTAAATTGAATAATATTCTTTATTTTAATAATGTTCTCATACTTAGACATTAGAACCTTCTGTTGTTAACGAACGAGTTAAGGTCATGGACGCCTTAAAAGACCTATTAGTGAACTATGCTTGTTTGGTTATTCAATATCCTGATATGTTTCCTCAAATAAATGAGTTAGTAGCTTTTCTGCTCTTCTTTCTTTTTCTCTTTCTTTTTATTAATAAAGAAAATTCTTGATGCACTTTTTTACCAATGATAGTTCCACGGAATTAGGTTCCCGACAACTTGTTTCAAGACTATTGTCCGATATAAACTCCCCCGAAGGGTTACCTTTGGATTTTATTCAAGAATTGGCAGCAAAAGTTGATGAGGAACAATTTGATCAAGTTAGAGAAATTATATCCCTTAAATATAGTAATTTGTAGTTTTAAATTTTATTAATTATAACAAAAATTTATAGATTTTTGGTAGTGCTTTAATCGGGCTTGCGGCTCAAATGCGGACAAAAAACATTTTAAATAATGATTACTTAAAACCACTTAATGTATGCTGCTGTCCTGAGCGTTCAAACTAATTTATTTATCTTTACATAACTAATATAATCATTCTTTTACAAATTTCTATTTTAGGGTTTAGCAACTTTAACAGAGATAAAATCTTTGGCAGCAATGGTAAAAACAAATCAACTAATATATGTATCGTTTCATTTTAAATTCAACATATTAAAGATAGTTTATTTATTTCGTAAATAAGTTACCAACACTACGAAGCTGGAATCCTCAAAATTCAACTGCAAAAGCATATGAGGTCATGTCACTTTTAGGTCCATTTTGTAGGATATCTGTTTTTCCATCGGATGAGGTAATTTAATTTTATTATAAGGATTATGTATGTTTATTTTATATTTTGAATCTATTAAGAAATTTATATAATATCCGACCACAGCCATCTATTCCAGAAAAGTATTTTGGTAACATTCAACAAAGAAGTAAAGCTGATGTTGATTCTCTTATGATAAGTTTAAGTGGCGCTATACAAGGAGTACAGGTTAATAATACCGTTATTTCTTTTTTCCTTTTTTTTTTTTCTTCCCTCCCCTTTTTTTTTTAAAAAAAAAATTTATTAAATATATATTTTATACATTTCAGAGAACTCTTTTTAATATATTCAATAATATTGTACGCTCTTCACCATCTTCAAAAGAAGCTGTTCTTTCTTATTTTGCTAGAGTTATTAAATTGAACGAAAAAAGAACACAGATGCAGGTTTGTATTCAACTTATTACTTATATTTACACTTAAAGGAATTATGGTTAATAAACATCATTGCTTATCGATCATAGGTTGATCCTTCACAAGTAGGAACGGATGGGCTTTTGATGAATTTAAGTTCTATATTATTAATATTTGCAGATCCTATTTATTCTAAGGTAGCTAATTTTTAACATTTAAAATGTTTAAAATTTTTATAATTTTTATTTGAATATTATTAAATTCCATGTGAATTTTAAAAGATCGATCGTATCGACGTTAATTATTTCCGCAAGTCGAGACGAATTGATATTAGTCAAGAAACAAAAATTAAGGCAACCCAACAAGAGTCAGACGCATATTATTCTTCTGCAGTAAATGAAGCTGGTTAGAAATACTAGAATTTAATCTGTGATTAAACTGTTTAATTTTGTGATTTTATTTTAATATTATTATTAAAAATTATTTTATGTATAGCATCACCAAATTTTATATCAGAAATATTTTTCATAACTTTAGCAATGCATCACTACGGACCATTGCAATGCTATAACAAATACAATAACTTGAACAGAGACCTTGCAGAATTACAAAAGCAGTATGATAGGTTGAAAGCTGATCAACCAAAATGGGCAGGAGTAAATATAACTTATTATATTATTGAGTGATTTGTCTTGGATAATAAGATTTATAACTTATTCTTTATTTCTAAAAATCAAAAAAAAAAGACTCCGGCTGAAACATTTAACAATGCCCTACTAGAGCGTTGTAAGGTATGATATTTGTATTAAGAGATAATATTATATACATGAATATAAATGTTAACATAAATATCTATTAAATAGGATCAACTTGAGAAATGGGCTGTACATAAAATATCGTACGAGTCTCAATTGTTAGATCCTACATCTTTATCTCGTACATTACAATTCTATAATTTAGTAATTAACTGGGTGTTAAGAATTGTTGATCCTACAGGTCAACACCCTATAAAGCAAATTAGGTATTTACTATAAATAATAATGTTTATGTTTATTGAGTTTTATTAAATCTTCTGTTTTCCTTCCAAAGTTTACCTTTGCCACCAACACCACCAGAAGAATTTATTATGTTGCCTGAATTTGTTATTGAAGATATTACTGAATTTTTTTCATTCATTTCCAGGTAATAATTTTATGAATTTATCATTAACAATATTGAATATTTATGTATAAATTATTTTATATAATACAGATATAATCCTAAAGTAATGCTTTCATGCTCACGTGATGAATTGGTCATTTTTATCATCACTTTTCTTAAATCTTCGACATATATCAAAAATCCATATTTGAAAGCCAAGCTTGTAGAGGTGAGGATTTCTTTATGCCCTATTTATTATATTATATTTAACTTTATGGGTGGATCCATTTTGATAATATTTTATAATTATTAGATTCTATTCTACTACACAATACGGAATGAAAATGAGGGTGGTATAGGAAGTATATTAAATACACACCCTATTGCATTGGAACATTTAATGTCATCTCTGATGTCTTTTTATGTTGGTAAGAGAATTTCTTTTTCACATATCTATCTATATTGGATGTTAGGTTTACATTATTTGATCTTTTTAGAGGTGGAGCAGACTGGAACGCACACTCAATTTTATGATAAGTTTAATATTAGATATAATATTTCGCAAATATTTAATTCAATATGGAATAATCAAATGTATAGGAATAAATTAAGAGAAGAAAGTCGGTCAGTAAATTATTCAAGCTTTAAAATCATTAATAATGAGAATAATATATATTTATATTTATATTAATATACATTTGTATATGATTTTCGCAATAGAAAAATGGATACCTTTGTAAGATTTGCTAATTTGTTAATGAATGATGCAACTTATCTCCTCGACGAGAGTCTTACAAAACTAACTGAAATTCGTAACATACAAAATGAAATGGATAATATCGATGAATGGGAAAAGAAAACGCAGGTAATATATAAATATTGATTATCACTTAATAATATTACTTATAATAAAAATATCATTAATAACATTACAAAATGACTAGCAACAACGTCAAGAACGTGAAAGTTTGTTTCACTCTCTTGAACGACAGGCTACATCTTATATGGCTCTTGGAAATGAAACTGTGCACATGCTTGAATATATGACATCAGAAGTAGCTGATCCATTTCTTACACCTCAAATTGTTGATCGATTAGCAGCAATGTTAGATTATAATTTAAATTCTCTTGTTGGTCCTAAGTGTACTGGACTTAAAGTTAAAAATAGGGAAAAATATCGATTTCAACCTAGAATTTTATTGCAGCAATTAATAACTGTATATTTGAACTTAAGTAAAAGCAAAGAATTCATACAAGCAGTTGCGAAAGATGGTAGAAGTTATAGCAAAGAATTGTTTTTGAAAGCATTTAGTATTTTGAAAGAACATGGATTGAAATTAGATAGAGATATTAAAGTGTTGGAGAAATTTGTTAATAATGTTGAAGAAGTAATTAAACAAGAAGAACAAGGTGAAGAAGAGTTGGGCGACATACCGGAAGATTTCTTGGGTAAGATAAATTTAAATTTGATCAGTATGAACACAAGTGTATTTATTAATAAATATTTTATTATTTAATTCTTTTAGATCCACTTTTATTTGTAATAATGGAAGATCCAGTTATTTTACCTGAATCACGAATATCAATTGATCGTAAATCAATTACAACTCATCTTTTAAGTGATGCTACAGATCCTTTTAATAGAAAACCTTTGACAATAGATCAAGTTATTCCAGGTAAGAAATTTGTAATTATTTTTTTAATGTTTAAATCAAGAATTAAATAGAATTTTATTATATAATTATATAACAGATTTGAAATTAAAGGAAAGAATTGAAGCTTTTAAAAAAGAAAAAAGAGAAAAGAAATAATTATTATTAATAGTATTTTTGAATTATTATTATCCTAACTTATAGATAATAAGTAAGTATTTATTAGTAAGAAATTTTGAAACGTAAGGTTTGTCTTAAACTATAATAAACTATTAAATTATTATCCAATAATTTTGCTTATATACCATCAACAAACTTTGTAAAGTATTATATAAAAGTTTATTATTAGAGATTTTTTAAAATTCATGTATTCACAACTCTAGATAATTCTTATTATTTTTATTCCAAATTCTGTGAGAATACTGTTTTTTCATGTGATACCTTTCTTTTCAAAAAAAAAAAAATAAATAAATAATTCAAGCCTTTTTAGCTGTTTTAAATACTTCTCAATAAGAAAAAAAAATATTTTTTTTTAGTATTTTTAAAAAAGTGAGGTTCTTTGGATTTTTGTATATTTGTCTAATCTTTTATTATTGCATAAAGTATAGTTTTAAAATTTCAAAAATTTTAATAGCTTTTATTTTAAAATATGCACAGAATAAATGTTGCAAATAAATTAATTTTTAAAACATAATTTATTAAAATTGGAAAATAAAGTTAAAAATCTGAATAAATCTAAAATACCTGGTATTTAATTTATAATCAGTGTAATATTATATATAATTAGTTAAAAAGATATATAATTACTACTGATACACTTAATTAATATTTTTGATAGTTATAATAAATGGAAAATCAATCTTTTACTTACATAAAATGATTATATAATCAATCATATAATTATATAATAGATTAAATAATTAATCAAATAGAAAAATGAGAAGAAATTATTAAGTAAAAATTCTTAAATAATTATATAACTGAATAGTTAGAAGAATTATAAGAAAATAATTAGAAATATAAGTTATAGTTAGTTATAATAATATAATTCAGTCAACTCCCTTTATAGTCACTCTCATTATAGTCACATTCTACTATATAGTCACACCAGTTGGATGTTCAAAACACTTTATTATTAAAATTTATCCTATATAGTCACAATCTATCTATAGTCACTATCACACCTATTTTCAAAAATCTCATATTAAAAAGTACTGTTTATAGTCACAATTATATAAAGAATATAATAAATTGCTCAGCATCCAATGATCATAGAAAGATGCAACACAGCTTGTTGGAATCGTCTCATTGAGACGAATCAAATGGTGGTAGTTTCATCTTTCTACAATCACTGGCTGATGAGATATTTAGCGAAATGTCAAAAATTGGCATTTAATATTTCTTGATTTACATTTACTGTGCTGTTAAACGTTTTGCTTAACTTTTCAGCATCTAGTGATTGTAAAAATATGATTAATAGCTCTTTAGAATCACCTAATCAAGACAAATCGAATGGTGGTAAGATCATCTTTCTAGGTATGATAGATCGTGAGTTATACAAAAAAATGTTAAAATAATAAATTATTAGATAAGTCACGATTTATTGCACTTAGAAAGATGATCTTACTACCATTCGATTCGTCTCGATTAGGCAATTCTAAAGAGCTATTAATCATATTTTTACAATTATTAGATGCTGAGAAATTAAGCAAAATGTTTAGCACAGACTGCACAGTAAACATAAATCAAGAAACTACTTCAGTTAAAGATGGTCAATGGTTTTACTTCGTTCGTCTTAGTCTGATCCAAGTCAATTCCGGTCTTTGTAAAACTGGATCGCAGTCTTGAATCCATGATTCTAATAAAGACCGATCACTACGATTGGTCAAATATGATCATGTAACATTACACATTTACACAAGTCCAAAAAAGGAAATTTTATTTCCTTCCAAAATGGAAAAATGGTTACATGAGAATCCAAAAAAAGAATATTTTTTGCAATGATCATTTAATTTTAGCTAGAATTATTGTAAATTTCAAAATTTATGAAGACCGATGGAGGGCCGCATCCTAAGCAGTCTGGTCTTTTTGCACATAGAACCAGAGAGGACCATAGTCTTTAGGACCTTTAACCATCTTTAACTCCAGTGACACTGACAAAAATTTAGCGATTACATAACTAATTTTATCGATCATTCCCAAAAATGATAAGCAGATTTAATGAAAAAATAAAAAAATAAGAATAAAACACAATATAAATGCCATATATTTTTTAAACTTATATAGTATGTGTATTTTTGAACGCTCTACAAATTTACCTTGACAACAAAAATATAAATTTTTGACTTTTTATATGATAATTCGTAAATAATTAATTTTACAAAAATCTGTATTCAAAACCTACCTTTATTGCCTAAGTAAACTTGCAAAGCAAGTAAATTTAGATATAGTATATAAATTTTAGAAAATATCTGTAGTAAGTTTTATTCTAAAAAAATAATAACAATAATTTTTTTTTGTTAAATCTGCTTATCATTTTTGGGAATGATTGATAAAATTAGTGATGTGATTGCTAGATTTTTGTTAGTGCTACTGGGGTAGTTAAATTAAGAAATATTAAAATACCAATTTTTGACGTTTTGCTAAATATCTTATCAGCCAGTGATCGTAGAAAGATGAAACTACTACCATTCAATTCATCTCAATGAAATGATTCTAACAAGCTGTGTTGCATCTTTCTACAATTACTGGTTGCTGATTTAACATATATTTTTTAATAAAGTATAATAAAATGTATTAAAAATTTAAATTTTATATATGTTTTATATAGTTACACTTCTTTATAATCACGGAAAATGGCTTGTCCCAAATGTGTGACTATAAAGAAAGTTGACTGTATATGAAATGAGTTTAAAAAATATTTTTAAAAAATTGTATTTAAATATTTTAAAAAGTTAATAATAAAAAAAAATTTTAAAGTCAGTAGTACTATTATGAAAATTTTATAAGTACTATACTTACATTTATAAATAACTTTCAATTAATAAAAAAAATCAATTTTATTTAACCAAAATGTAAAATTATACTTTTAATATATAAGTACTATAATATACCAAAATTTTCCTAGTTATACCAGATTTTTCCATTATATTAACAAATATTCCTAAAATATATAAAGACCTTTATCATATTAACTTAAATATAATTCTAATCAAATTATATTAATTTATATATATTATAAAAATAGGATTCTGAACATTTTTTATTAGAATTTGTGTAATTATATTTCTTTATAATTATCTAATATAGACTATTCCAAATATGTATCTATAAAGAGAGTTGATAATGATTTTTAAACAATTAAATAAATTATATATTTATATATAAAACATGCTAAATTTAATCAATACTATAATTGCATGGAGTTTTTTTATTTATAGTTGGAAGAAAAAGGAAACTTTATCTTATTTTTCTGGTATTTGCTTCAGTTAAAAAAGCATTTGATAATTAGATGGCATTTTTAAATTGCATTTACTTAATTATAGAAGTCATCGTCATCATAATGACTAAATTTAACAAGGGATTTTAAAGAATTATTAAAATTCCTATTTATTTTATTTACATTAAAAAGAATAAATTTAACAATTGTAGATCAATCTTCATAGTTGGTGATCAAGTTTTAACTTGTCGGAATGAATGCAAGACATTACGATCAATATAGTAGATTTTAATAACTGCGAATTATATTAAGAAATCAACGATCTTCGTTGATAAATTTACAACTGTGTGTTCTAGATTACGAAAAAAAATTCTAGGTATTATATTATTTTTGAAAAAAAGAAAGATTGTAGGATAATGTACAAATACTAAAAATGATTAAAAAAAACCTATTATACAAATCAAAAACATAGCCAACGACTTGGAAACCCAAGAATAAATGCGTTCTTTTTAAATGTTTATACAATAATATCATGATTTGTTTTGGTACGTAATTCTGTCCATTCCTTTAATTTTTTACCATATAAAGGAGGTATCAAACTTAATAACGATACCATCATCATTTTTAAGAGTAAAATTGGTTGCCATATATCCGCGGTTGAAGTAAGCTCTGATAAAATGTCACCAGCCTGACAACAAGCAAGATTATATGGAATTGATCCAAAAAACAATGAAATGAAAAATGTTCTGACTGGAATATATAAAAGCGGTGCCGCTAAATTGAGAAGCCTAAAATATAAAATTAAATTAGATAATGATGCATGAATTTAGAGTGAAATTTGTATTAAATGTGACTTACCACCAAGGAGATAAAGGGAACATTCGAATAAATAACAGATAAAAGAACAACCCATCTCTATGATCATCAACTTGTTTTCTTAGAAAGTTTAATTTATCAGATAAATATTGATCCATGATTGGCCGTCCAATAAATTTGCTCAATAAATATGCACATAAAGCTCCTATAGCAGTAAGCATAGAAGTCAGTATAGTAGCAATTAACGGTCTATATAAAGCGCCTGCCAAAATGTTCTGATTTAAAAATGATAAATAAAATTTTCAATATGAAACAAAATAAAATCTTTTTTAAAATTAATAATTTCTTACCAAGAAAATCGCTCCGGGTATGGAGAATGCTTGTTTCCAGATATAAATTATTGAAAAAACGGTAACTATGTGTACATATCCTTCCCAAGTTCCATTGGAATAATCTTCTAATATTATAGCTTGCTTTTTTACTGCTTCAATTGAAGTGGGAAGAGATAAATCTGGAATAGTTCTGACTAAGGAGACAACTCCTAAAAGCGATATAAACCAGCAACCAAAAAGTAAAAACATGCGTGGAACAAAATTAACAACTACCGTGCTTGTTTTATAATCAGACTTGTATTTTTTTGTGTCATTAAACCCTGAGTCAACCAACATTTTAATAACTGAACCATTATGCGGCAATAGGTAAGGGTTTTGAAATTCTCGCATTATTGGAACATACATTTTTGTGAACATCCTTATCAAAGCATAATTTACACGATTCTTTCCAGAGGAAAAGAAAAACTGTTATTTTTTTTAGGAATTAATAATAGAAATAACTATTTTTATTTTAATAGAAAATAAACACGAGTTTCACGAAACTGATGCAAGTTTGATCATCATTTCGGTTAATTAAAGGAAAATTACTGTAAGCAGAAAATGGTTCATTGTTTTTAAAAACGCTAATCTAACTAATTTAGAAAGACTAATTTTACACAGGATATTACACCCGTGTGCTATTTATAGTTATTTGTAGATTTTATCTCTATTATCCATTCTGCTTAATCATCTTATCTCAATTAATTTATTTCTTATGAAATTATGTTAAAACAAATAAAAATTTTGTATTTATATATATAATGAATTCCTTACTTGTATTATTTGTGTTATGGTAAAAATTTTGACAATTATTTCGCTATGAAACGATCAAAAATAAAATAAGATAAAAAATGAATACATAAATTATAAATAAACCAAAAATTTTTTCTGTCAGAATAACATCTAAATAATTGCAGATATTCATGAATCATCTCTTTCTTTATAGAAATTCTTCAGATATGTTTCTGCCTCTTTATATTCATCTTTCACCTTTTCCAATAAGGTCGAAATCTTTGTAATGGCATCATCCTCAGAAATAGTATTTGTTCCTGTTTCATCTTTCATATTTCCAAAATGCTGCATTTTTTCACATGATGCTTTTACCTTAGTTAATCCAATAGCAGCGGAGCTACCTTTTAAAAAATGCCCTAATTTAGACAATTCATCAAGGTCTCGAACTTCCCTATGAAATTAAAATATAAAATATAGAAATATTAGATATAAAGTTTTATATTTATAAATAAATTTATAAATAACTCGTCATTCTCAAACGATCTAGATAAATCTACAGAACTTGATACAAAGAATTGCAGCATTTTTTCACCAATCAATATTAAAAACGAGATCCAGAAAATCGATATCTGATTCATTCCATTTAAATTCAACTTGGAATCGAGAAAGGTTTAGACCATTTCTTGATTTAATTATTTAATTTATTCAAGATTTAAATAAAATAACTACTACTCACAGTGCTTTATCCATACTACCAAACGTTGTTTCTGCCTGTTCGAAATAATTCCAGACTATAGATTTGGAAAAATCGTGGTCGTCGTCGTCGTCCATCTCCAGTAGCTGGTCAAATGTTTCGTGATCAATAAGATCTGAATTTGGGGAAGGTACTCTTTCTTCGTCCTTAGAAAAAATAATAGCGGCGTATTATTAGATAGATCATTGCAGACAAAATGTGAATAAGATCGTACATTAGAACGTACAGAATGCGGCGTTGGACTTGGAGTGGAAGGCATATTATATTTAAACTTTTTTGGTGAATAGTTTATAAAGGACAGCTACGATCTTTACGCTAGTTAAACAAACTGAAAGGAATAAGTTTTAAGCAACCTTTGTCTCAGACATCTTTAACTTATGCAATAAAAGGCGCAATGACATCATTGCTCATGGGATAATCATTAAATATTTTATATTTTATACATTTTAAAAGCTTGAACAGGTTCATTGACGAGATTTTTAATTTATAGTCGTTTTTTACTGGTTTGCACATTCCTGATTAACAAAACTGTATATTCAAATAGTATGCAAATAATTATTTACTTAATTCAAATTAGCCTAATTTGGAATAAAAGCTGTTTATTACAAATCACAAAATTAGTAAAAAAAACCAAAACTTCGGTATAAAGTATAAATAACTAACAGTAACACACATTCGATATCACTATATATAATAAAAATTAAATACAATTCTTAGTTTTATTTGTTTTATTTATCCTAAATAATCATATATATAAATACATTTAATATATATATTTAAATAAAGGATTAATTTATATTAAATAAAAAATATACTAACCCAATAAGGTTTAATATGTGTGCTAAACAAGGCAGATGGACTAGTTGCGGCATGAGTAGTTTTAATACATCACAATAGCATTTCTTCATACAGTATATGCTACAAAGTCTGATGCAATTAGTTGTGATAGATCAAAAGAAATTTCCCATTGAACTAATTTTGTTATACCATTATAGCTAAAAAGTATATTAACTATACTTTGTGCTTTACTATCTGTAGTTTCATCTATAATAATTGAAACTTGTCTGCTACAAAAATATTTTTTGAGTTGATTAACATGATCTTCAAATAATTTTGGTAAATAATCTTAATGTAAAGTATCTGATTTTGGAACAAAGTCTCTTTCATTACAATTTTCACACAACTAATTTGAAGTTTATCTATTTTTTCTAATGGAATATCAGCTGTTACAAATGCATCTACTAAATTATTTACAGCAGTTTTTTTAATTCAGATGCATTAAGGATAGTTTGAATAGTTAGTTGTCTTTTTTTATTTGTTGTTCTTTTTTCTCATTTTTATTACAAATATGTGTTTTAGAACCTATATGAGCTAAAGATGTTAGCCATAACTGTAATATTAAGACACAGTGTCGTATGTAATAGGTTGCAACCTATCTACATTAAAAAGCAAAAGTTGTAATGCTGTAATTAGGTTGTAATGCCATAATTAGGTCGTAATACTGTAATTAGTTCTTAATGCCTTAACTAATCCTTAATGCCGTAATTCCGAAATTACGTATGTAATTTCGGCCAGAATTATGCACTTAATTTTAGCAGAAATTAACAAATATCCTAAAAAGGAAAGTGTTGTTACACAAAATTCCAGTGTCGTTCCCACTAAAATCAATTTTTGTGGAACGGCTATCGCCAAAAAAGGAAAGATCTGCATTCCCGTTTTGGCTGAATTATGATTTTCGGCTGAAATTACATGTTTAAGTGAAATTACGTTAATTTCGGCCGGAATTATATTTCGGATTTCGGATTTCGGATTTTAGGAAATATGTGACCGTGTAATTTCAATTTTAAGGGGTAAATAATATCAAAAATAATAATAATAATAATTTTTTTTTTTTTGTAAAAAAGTTTATATGTAAATTATGCATAAAATCATCTAATTATTAAAGATATTATGCTAATTTAATATAAATTTTTTGAAAAAAACTTAATATTTTCCACCCACCCCTAGGGATTTTAGTTCATTATATAATTTTTTTCTTTACATGAACGCGTATACAAAATACAAAAAAAAACGCGACGCGTCTTATGTACTCCCTAAAAATTAAAATTATACGACATATAAACTATTGTAATTTACTTTTATAATTCATTANTAATAATAATTTTTTTTTTTTTGTAAAAAAGTTTATATGTAAATTATGCATAAAATCATCTAATTATTAAAGATATTATGCTAATTTAATATAAATTTTTTGAAAAAAACTTAATATTTCCCACCTTCCACCCCTGACCACCCACCCCTAGGGATTTTAGTTCATTATATAATTTTTTTCTTTACACGAACGTGTATACAAAATACAAAAAAAAACGCAACGCGTCTTATGTACCCCTAAAAATTAAAATTACACGACATATAAACTATTGTAATTTACTTTTATAATTCATTAAAAATTACGACATTACAGCCTAATTATAGCATTGCGACCTAATTACAGCATTACAACCCAATTACAGCATTACGGCCTAATTACAGTATTACGAAAAGTGTCATAACTGTAATGCTATATGCTGTAATATTACGGCATCGGCCAATCAATTACGGCTAACATCTTTAATATGAGCAGTAATTGTATTTTTTGTTTAAAAATTAATACTATGATCACAAAAATGGCACATAAGTTTCCTATTATCTGCAAAAAAGTCTTCAGAAAATTCTCGTATATGCGAAAAAACAGTAATCGTTGAAGTTGGAGGCATTTTTTAAGGGATGTTAAATACGCTAATCCACATCTATGATTGGTTAATTATCACATGTTGGAATAAAATCATTAAAATTTATGAAAATTCCATTTTATTCCATAATACAGCAAAAATTCTGATTTATTCATTTATTATAAAAATGGAATTTTTCTGGGTTTCTGAAGTTACACGTATCAGAAAGATCACTACAGAGCTAGAATTATGGAATTAGAATACAGATAAAATTTTAGCAAATTTATAAAGTCATGTGATTTTATAATAGACCAATCAGAAGTTTCAGGATTTCAGAAAAATTTCAGGATTTCAGAATTAGTTTTAGAAAAGAAAACCTTCTGATTCATGAGAAAATCATCACATGTAATGAGAAAATTTCGATCTGGCTTTACTGATGTCACGTAAAACAAAATGACAACAACAAGTTAGTAAGATACCTAGGAAAAAATGTCATTATATATTACAATATCATGTAATTCAAATATGAAGAGTTTTAATGAATAAATTTTTCGTTTTGACATAAAATATTATGTACAAAACAGTGTAATATATAAAAATTCTCATTTTTTATTGGATAATGTCTGATCATGTGATATTAAACTTGTGCCAGAAAATTGAAACATCATCACATGTTTGTCAAGTATAATTTACTTGCACTATAATTACTTAAAAAAATGTTTCGCAATATTTTTCATTAAGTTAATTAAAATGTTGCGCAAACGGTTTTCAGATATATTTAATGTTTTTTAATTAGTTTAAAGAAAAATGTTGCGAAACATTTTTTCAAGTATATTTAATTAAAAAAATGTTTGTACAATATTTTTTTAATTAGTTTAAAGAAAAACGTTGCAAAATATTTTCAGTTTCAAGTATATTTAATTAAAAAAAATGTTTGTGCAATATTTTTTTAATTAAACTAGTATTCACCTGTTGTCTACGACAACAGTTAATATGTAATTCCGGCCAGAATTAAAAGATCTGCAAAGAATTTCCTTTTTTAGAAATTTGTGTACCTGACAATTTCCTTTTATGAAATCCTGCGTAACTCAAAATTTCAGGTTTTTGCCAGAAATAAAATTTCCTTTTTTGGTTTTGTGTAACATTGGCGATGAATAGGAGTAGGGTTACACAATTCAAATGACTTATTTATATGGTTAATCTAAACATAACGCCCACATGATTGCAGTGTTTTTTAATATATAGATAGATTAACAAAAAAATGTTGCAAACCGTTTTTTTTAAGTATATTTAATTAAAAAATGTTTGTGCAATATTTTTTTAATTAACTTAACAAAAAAACATTGCAAAAACATTTTTTTATTATAAGACTGGACTGACTGGTCCAGTCTGGTCCTGGATATTCCTTCTAATATAAACTGAACTAGACTGAAATAAACTAATTTTTTCAGTTTGGTTCTAGTTTACTTCTCAACTTGAACCAATCCAGAGCATTTAGAGCTTTACTTTGATACTGTATTCTTCAGATTTTTCCAATTACCTATCTCACATTTGATATGTAAAGCATTTAACGTAATTCAGAAAAAAAGTACCTGTAAGCTTATCACATATTATGAAAATTGGGCTGATTTGGATAAAATCACAAATATTAAGTTTAACTTGCAAGAATATGAAGATATTTGGATTAGATAAACTATCTAAAAGTTATAATTGATTGTCAAAAAATGGCCGAAGAACTAAAACTCAGCTCATAGGGTTGAACTAAATACTATAAATAACAAAAATATGGAGAGCAAGCCTTTGGAAAAAAAATAAAACTTTCAAGAATTTGAAGAAAGGTTTGAATAGTAATGAAACTGGCAAACTCACTTTGTGGAATAACTGTTCAGTCTTGGCAGAGCGAATGGGACACTATAATGGAACTTTGTATTTGTAGAATACTAATATTTTTTTTAATTAACCTTTTTTTTAATTTTTTTTTTTTTTTCTGACTTTCTGTTGTTGCTCCTTTTTTTTTAATTATAATAATTACTTAAAAAAATAAATTTTTATTAAAATATAATATTTTTTAAAAAGAATTTATAAAATTATTATAAATATAATTAATTTAATATATTTTCATAATAAAACTATAATTTTATATAATTAAAATTAAAATTAAAAATTATTATTATATGGTTTAGTTAATAATAAAACTGAAATTAATTGGTAATGAAACCAAAAATTTTGGCAAAAAGAGTTTAGGCAAGCATCACTAATTATTTTATAGCCTAAATACATTTATAATTAAATTTGGCAAAATTACATNAGATGTGTATAAGAGACAAACTTATAACTGATCTATATGAATTTAGCACTTTTTACTTCTGCTAAAATAGATCTAATTTGCTAAAAATCAAATTATTACATTTTAAATCTACACTAATTTGCTAAAACTCAAAATATAAGTTATAGTAAAATTCTAAATAATATAGGTTTAAATTTGCTTAATAAAATATAATTTCAGTTTATTAAAATTATTTGATTTAATTGTCAATTTACCGAAATTAACATTTTTTTTTTTATTATCAATAAAAAAATAAATAATTAATATAAATTAAATTGTCAATTTTTAATTTTTATAATTTATAATTAAAAATATATAGATTATAGATAAAATAATAATTAATAAAAATAA